GAGTCAACCCTGAGCCGGTGAGATTTGAACCGCTGAACTGCTGATCTAGCAGTAGCCTGCAGTGCTGCATTTAACCACTGAGCCACCTTGGCTCTCACCTTGGAGTATTTGCTGTGTAAAATGCAGTTATCCTTTCAATATATACATATACAGATATACATACATACTAATATATTGTGAGGGATTTGATTCATCTCCCTTTCTTGCCACCTCTTTTGCAAAATTTCCCCACTACCACCAACCTGCCGACAGTGAACGGAAGAATAAATTCTGTGGATACCAAATAACTTCGGAACTAATGGTTTTCCTTATTGCTTTTTTCTTAATCAGGGCATGCAGTCCTGCCTGTTATCATCTGATCCCGTTATTAACGAATGGAGAGATATTTGGAATGGAAACCGAGATATGCCTTCATTTGTTTGACCGAAGTATTTTCAAAGACATTCTTTGGGGTATTGTTATGGAGACTCAAGATTTAGCATCCCCAGTCCTTCGTAGCGTCACTTTACATACTGAACTGGAGGAGATCTTCCTCGACGCCGACATTATCATTTTGTTTGATGACATCCTGCAGGAAACGATCCCGACACTCGAACACTGTATCCAACAAGTAACTGATCAATGTAAAACATATGGCCCTTTGATAGAGCAGAACGCCAAAAGCGATGTCAAAATTATTGTGATGGGGAAAACCTTTATCAACCTTAAGTCGTTAATGCTTATGACATATGCGCCCTCTATAAATCCTAAAAATATTATAACTCTTGCCATGATGTTGGAAAGTACAGCCAAAGCTATGGTAGCACAAAAAATGCAAATGCACCCAGCAGGTGTGTAACAGGTTGATGCTTAATCATTGAATTAGTATTTTTTTGTCTCATGTTGAAAACTGCAACAAAGGCAAACTATAAATGAAAATTAAAGCATGTACGTAGAGGTCCATAAAAAAGATGAGCTGGGAGAAAAGACTTATAAGGTAAATGCTAGGGGCAAAAGAAACATGTTAAATCCGGAGAGCCAGAAGGGTGTTACGAAGAGACCTAGACTCTTTCCACCTCATCCTTCATTGAGATAGTCTATAATAACAAAATCTTGCAGATCAATCCATGTGTCTTCCTCTTACAGTAGGGCAGTGGTTCCCAAACTTGGCAACTTTAAGACTTGTGGACTTCAACTCCCAGAATTCTCCAGCCAGCTCTGCAGAGCTGGCTGGAGAATTC